TAAACCATTCCAAGCTTTTACTTGTTTTTAACAAATGTTTAAACAACTCTATTCAATCAAAAACAAACAAACAATTATACTTATCAAGACACACGGTAGTGTGTCGTGCGGCCTAAACAACCTGCAGGACACAATGTATGTTATTAACAGGAGTGATAGTTTAGCGATTTTCCACTTTCTGTAGCTCAGAGTGTCGTAATCCAAATTATGGTATATTTTAAGATCATCTTGGGGCATGATGGTGAATAAAACAAAGTACGCGGCCTAGCTAACTAATGAATGAATATTTGCTGTATAAGTGTAGCTACCAGTTTGGCCGATAATTTTGACTTCATTCCTTTAAATTGCACGCTCAATCATTTTTTGGACACCTTTTTTTACAGCTAAGGTGTTTTTGATTAGATTATTAATATCATAAACTGTGAAAATGTAAACGTTTATGGAAAACGAAGTACGTTACTTGTCATATATATATATATAATATTTATTGACTTTATGCTTTGTAGATAGTTCACCAAATCCAATGAAAATTACTTGTAATTTCATAATAACTTTCATATTGGCAAATAAGATTGTTCAGTGAATGGCATAAAATATTCTTATGGTAGTAGAAATATATTATTTAAATACTTGTCGTATGAAAAGATTAAAGAAATGGAGCAAACAAATTATTTGAACTTCTGCTACTTTTGGTAGTTTTTGTTCAAAGTTTTGATCTGTTTTTATGTCTTCGAATGTAATGTCTGAGACAAGAATTATAACAAGTTCTGGTGACTATTTAAGATATAGGAGTTAATAGAACCTTTTCAGAAATGAGTATATTTTGAGGGTAACGTTCAATTAAATTCAACTAATATGACTTTTATTAACTTTGTAGATGTACCTCCTGAGTTGCACCAGGGTTTCCCAGAAAGAACACTAAAAGCAGGAACCTCACTCTCACTTCAGTGTATATTTTCTGGACATCCATTACCACAAATTACGTGGCTAATAGATAAAATTCCACTCTCTGATGTTCCTCAGTTTCGTATAGGAAAAGAAGAAACGGTAGATGGTAGACTTAAATCATTCTTGAATATCACCAGGATTCGAACTAGAGATGGGGGTTTCTATGAGTGCGTCGCCAACAATGGCGTTGGCTCAGTAAGTCACGTGGCTCGTATAAATGTCTATGGACCACCATATGTGCGTCCAATGAAGAATGTTTCAGTAATCGAAGGAGAAACATTAATATTACAGTGCCCAGTAGCAGGTTATCCTATTAAGTATATAATTTGGGAAAGAGGTGAGTTTATTATTATTATTATTATAGCAACCGATAATTTAAACATTCGAAACGAATATTTCTAATTAATTTCCTATAACAAAAAACCTGTTGAATATTGAAACTACAGAACTTGTAATAATTGAAATGTTAAATACTTTGCTGCGTGTATACTGATATTACTATTTGAAATTAATTTTCCTGATTTTGGTTATCATATAACACATATCAATTAGTGACATGGATTCTATCTAATTATGTATCAATCCATATATGCTATTTTTTCTTACAAAATTGAGGTAAAAGTCATAGTTTAAGTAATTATTAAAAGTATAAGAAACATCGAGTGATACAAAACTTTAGGTTGGAATGAGCAAGCTTTCACGAAGTCTCAGTACAATGCTACCATCAATCCGTTAGTCTTCTTCAACTTGTGGTCCTGCTACTAGGTTACATTCTGTTGACAGGTGATTTGCACAATAAGGGGCCCGGCATGGCCAAGTGGTTAGCGAGGTCGACTCCCCGTCGCCACCAAACATGCTCGCCCTTTCAGCCGTGGGGGCGTTATAATGTGACGGCCAATCCCACTATTCGTTGGTAAAAGAGTAGCCCAAGAGTTGGCGGTGGGTGGTGATGACTAGCTGCCTTCCCTCTAGTCTTAAACTGCTAAATTAGGGACGGCTAGCGCAGATAGCCCTCGTGTAGGTTTGCGCGAAATTAAAAAAAAACTCAACAAACAAACAATTGCACAATAAGCACCCTCTGGATTCAATGAAGGATACTCTTTTATATCAACAGGTGAAAACAGTTTGATAAATGAAATTTATTTTGAATGAACAAAGGGGAAAAATAGATAAACCATATTTGCATACCATAAAATGCTTTAGTTATAGCACTAAATACACCCTGCATGTATAACATTAGTATACTGCTTCGTCCACAATAAAGTATGATTTCATATATACAATATATCAGAGCAACTACACTGACTGGCCATTTTATTATCTTTTCTCAGAGGTATTTGTAAAATACTCAATTTATTCCCATATGCAAAATACACTGATCACATAATCCGTTAGATATTTTTGAGTAATCTAAGTGCAGTGATGCTTTCCTAACATGGATAGTTTGCAAATTAATAGGGAATACAAACAAATTATTGTAGCAAATAAATAAATTCAAGGCAAAATTTTCATTAATTGAACAGAAGAAGGATTTTGTCAGTGAGTTAGAAAATTTTTAAATTCAATAGAAAAACACATGATGTCACAAGTAAAAAAAGTTTCAAAATTACGATTTAAACATCGAAAGCTGGTGAAGTGTTTTAACCAATAGGAATAGCTTTTTGATAAAAAAAATGTAAATTGTTGAAGATGTTTTCTACGTTCCTCTTAAATTTTCAACTTATTTCTTTATTTGTCTAAAAATTACAAAATAAAACAGTAACTCAAAGTAAATGAAAATCTACTTAAACAAAAACATAATCACAATTGAAACATAGGACAAACAAGGTTAGTCTGATCCTTCATAAACTATATAGCTAGATTTATTCAGCACTTTGAGATAATTGAACAGAAAACCTCCAACTAAATAATGTACCTTAGCCAGTTAAATCAGTTATAAATGTTGAATTGACAGCTCTACATTTCCATATGACTACGGGGTTAACAACTTCATAAAGTCAACTTGTTGATCACCACTGCTTAATAGACCTATGAGAAGATAGGGACAACCTAGATTGCTAACACTTAGGGACATGACATCCTTGAAGTCATGTTTGTAAGTGAGTAACAGTGAATTATTTGAATCAAGTGAAAACTAGAAAATACAGGACAATGTAGTTTATAGCACTATATCCCACAACTCTCCCTTATCATCTCTTTGATTACTACTGAGGTGAGTTAACAGGAAGCCTTAATGGAAGTTAACTTGTAATACATGTGTAGTGTAACCATGCAGAATTGAGCTTAGGTAAACAAATAAGAATCCAACAACAGTTTAAGATTAAATAATTGAAAACCATATAAACAAAGCGACTTAACTCGATACCAAATATACTTATCGCATGCACATCAAGATATACAAAAACAAATTAAAATCAATACTGATACACAATGCATACATAAAGATGGATCTGAAATGCCTTTTTTCACACCTCTGACTTCGAGCCGCAATAAACAAATTAAGAGAAATGTGAAAAAACAAACCAAACCACCTGTAATTAACATGTTTTATAACAATTTTTAGTTGTATTAGTGTTTCAATATTAACCCGATTTTCGAAATTTAAACCATAACTTTTTAAACTAATATACAGCATATATGGATAGCGTTTCATAAAAGCTTTTGTATGGCGGTGCGTTTTCGTCCAATTGTTGGAATCTTAGTGGCATTTATGACTACTGGGTGAAGTTATATTGTTGGTGAGTTAAATATTTGGTTTATTATTGATACAAAATAGTTTTTACAGTTTATTGCTTCGTCTGGACTATTAGATGTTCTGTGTTCATATCTACATTTATATTGGATGTATTCTGCTTTGTCTGCTGTGGTGAATCGCCATGTTATAGCTGAGTAACGAGGGTTGTCTCCTACTAGATACTCTTCTAAGCCCACCTCGTGACTAAGCAATGACTCCAAGGAATCCATGTCATCAAATGCTCTTACTCTATCGATTGCTACATTTAACTAGATCATCTAACACTAACTGCTACTGTTTCTACTGAAGCTGATACCATGCATTCCTATTCCAAAGTTACATCTCGAGCATCGCTTGCCATTATTCTTTCTGTTCAACTTCAGCCCCATCATAGTCTATGCCTCATCCAGCCAGTTTGCCTTTGACGTCGGCTACTATGAATATTAGTTCTGTATAAAACTTGGTTGTTTTTTCTTATCTTAAATGAACTCTAAATTCTACATGAATCGTATGGTATTTTTGGAGATCTATAAGTATTTTCTTTGAGCAAACATTCACCAACTTTACCGACTCGTAATGGAATGCTCTTTAAGACCTATAATTTTCAGGTATTTGACATCCTTTGCACTAAAATGTGGATCATAAGTTTAGGCCCTAATGCTACAATCGAGAAGCTCGAATTCCCTTCTCTTAAACAACAACCTCCACCTCATCGAACTTTACCGTTTTCAAGTGTTAATTAAGCGATTTTTATTAAAAAAAAACATTATTTCAGAGCTACTTAAAGAGAAGATGTTGATAAGGGGAACAGCAAGTATTAACAATGTTTAAAGACTAACATTTAGCAGAAGTCAATGATGTAATTGACCACCTTCTTTAATGTGGTGCTTTCATTTTTAAACAACGGTATTGAATGGAAGCTAGCGTCTAGGACACCTCCACTACAGCCTTTACACTGCAAAAAGCTTCTGTGCTTCAACATTCACCTAATAGCAGAGTGTCCTAATAAACCAGTCTGTCCACATTGTAGGGATTCTCATCACATTAGACAGTGTACAAAATTTGGCTCATTTCCCAATTTGCAATACATGTCAGCTAGACTATCCAACGTATTCCTATAACTGTCGAGGAGAACTACCTCCAAAACCTGATTATCTCTTTACTGTGGATCCTGCTGGTTCATTTACACTGCCTTCAAATTCTCTCTCTCAACTCCCAACCATAGAAGATATTTTCTAATTTATTACTCTTGCCCTAAAAATATTAAACCATTTAAAAGAGCCTTTGTTATGGACAATGGCAACTATGCAGTTAAGTCTACTTTTAAACTCAGTATACAAGCCACATATTCTAGGCTCAAAACACACTCGTTTATAGAATTCTGAAAGTCAAGGATACATCATTACTGCGGGTTAAAACGCTTCTTTGTTAACATCCATTCCTTCCTTATAAATTGGGCCCGGCATGGCCAGGTGGATAAGGCGCTCGACTCACAATCTGAGGGTCGCGGGTTCAAATCCGCTT